TATATATATGCGTATATATATGTGTATATATATGTGTATATATATGTGTATATATATGTGTATATATATGTATATATATATATATATATATATATATATATATATATATATATATATATATATATACATACATTATATATATATATACATATATATACATATATATATACATATATATATACATATATATACATATATATACATATACATATATATATATATATATATATATATATATATATATATATATATATATATATATATATATACATATACATATACATATATATATATATATATATATATATATATATATACATATACATATATATATATATATATATACATATACATATACATATATATATATATATATATATATATATATATATATATATATATATATATATATATATATATATATATATATATATGCATTATCATCAATATAATTACTTTGATCATAATCAATAACATCGTTACCGGTAAAGAAAATTTTCATTGAAAATGCATAATCGTAATATCATCATCCCTAACATTTACCACGATTTTTTTTTTTTTACCATCTACAACTTTATGGTGTAAAGTGAAACATGGCCAACCAAACGAAATATTAGCCTTACATTAATGGATATTTTCAGTCATTCCAAAGACTGATTATATTTACCCAATGCATTTTTTTATTACTTTTTTTGTCTCCGTGCAATGGGTTATGATCAGACGAGCATTCTAAACATACCTAAATCCCTTAAAGTTTTTAATAACTAATGGCAACATCTGAACTGTTAGGATAATGGGCCACGTGAAGGTCAGTTGGGTCTCCGTAGCCGATTTTAGGACAGCTTTTCCTACACCTTAGGAGCAAGTCTTCGGTGTAATGTTGGAACTTTGCTGTATGTCTCAAGGGGTAATATCAGCCCCTTGTTTTGAAGGTCTTCCTGGTGATGTCATTTTGTTTATAGTATCTTTAAAAGTGTCTTGGGGTGACGTCATTCTAGTATCCACAATCAGTTGGAGGAAATGATAGGCCCTTGTTATAAATGACGGCATCTTAGGTGTGAACTTTTGGTAATGAATTATCTTACCATAGCAGCACTAATCTGTCTGAAACTAAATTCTAAGAACTGATTTTGTCATTTCATATATAAATTTCAAATTCGTTTTAGTTTTATCTGAGTTTGGACATTAACCGATTATTTAGCTTTATGCAAAGATAGCTTCACTGAAGAAGAAAGATAAATACTAATCCAACTACAGAGAGAAATATTTAATTGAAAAGGTAAAACAAAATTATGAACTGTGCTTATCACCCTGTTAGCATCTTTGAAAATTACATTTCACAAGAAAAAAAAATCGTATTACCAACAACGACTTTTTATTATTGATAAAAAAAAATCTTGGACGCGACCCTCGGACGAGAAATTTCAAAGCTTTTTCATTTACTTGAATTTACGAACTTCTGTTTTAATCTATAATTTTACACTTCTTCTTTTTATATAGATAATAAATTAATTATGCAATACTCTTCAGAACACATTTCCAATAATAATAACAATAATACTAATAATTAGTACTTGTGTTGGTGATGTTGGCAGTGGTGATGATGACGGAGATGGTGGTTGTGATAGTGGTGGTAATGGTGGTAGTGTTAGTAATGGTGGTGGTGAAGGTGATGCTGGTGTCGTGTAAATGGTGTTGATGTAGGTGGTGGTGTAGATGGTGATGATGGTGATGTAGGTGGTGGTGTAGATGGTGATGATGGTGGTGTAGGTGTTGGTGATGGTGCTGTTGGTGGTGATGATAGTGGTGTTGGTAATGATGGTGTTGTTGGTAGTGGTGATGATGGTGTTGTTGGTAGTGGTGGAGATGGTGTTACTGTAAGTGGTGGTTATGACTGGTGGTGGTGAAGGTGATGATGGTGTAGTGTAAATGGTGTTGATGTAGGTGGTGGTAGTGATGGTGATAATGATGATGATGTAGGTGGTGGTGTTAGTGGAGGTGGGGGTGGTGGTGATGATGGTGGTGACGATGGTGATGGTGGTGTAGGTGTTGGGGTCGTGGAGGTGGTGGTGTAGATGTTGGAGGTGGTGGTGTAGATGTTGGTAGTGGTGGTGTAGATGATGATGATGGTGGTGTAGATGATGATGATGATGGTGGTGGTGGTGGTGGTGTAGATGGTGGTGGTGGTGGTGGTGGTGTAGATGATGATGGTGGTGGTGGTGGAGTAGGTGTAGGTGTTGGTGGTGGTGCTGGTAATGGTGCTGCTGCTGCTGCTGTTGGTGTTGGTGGTGGCAGCAGCGGAAACGGAGGTAGTGGTAGTGGTAATAACGGACTGATGATGACAATAATATTATGAACCTTATTGTGACACACTATTGTATTGTTATTGTCATTATTATTTCTTTAAAGCCTTTTATAACTATAATTGTAACAATAATAAAATTATCTGTATGTAAGATATAATAAGTAGGAAAACAAGAAAAAAATAACAAGAAAGAGAAACAAAGAAAAATGATGACAATGATATTGATGATGATGACAATGATGGTGGTGGTGATGATAATGATAATGATAATGATAATGATAATGATAATAATAATAATAATAATAATAATAATAATAACAATAACAATAATAATAGTAATAATAATAGTAATGATAAGAATAAGAATAAGATCAAGAATAACAGCAGCAACAACAATAACAACAACAGTAATAACATTTAAAAACTACTAATAATAACAATAGTAATAATAATAATAATAATAATAACTATTATTATTATTGTTATAGCAACTGCTGAAACAATGTCTATAATTAAGGTCTGTGATATTTGAATAGTTATAGTGTAACTGTCAGTAAGCTTTGTTTATTTTTGTTGTCCATCTCTTCCAATTATAATGGTGAACGAAAAAAAAAATATTGCAATAAAACAAAGGCTATTCCAAAATGAAGAGCTCTTATTGTGCCAGATCAGGTTAGGTTATTACTTAACATTTGACATTTTATTACCTGAGTGCACATCTTATTGCTGAAATGCACCTTGGTGAGAGTAAAATACATTTCAAATGGTGCAAATGAAAAGAAATGAATATAATAATAATAGTAATAATAACAATAATAATAATAATAATAATAAAACGCATATAAAATATGAATAGAATATGAAAATTTTATTAGTGCTTGTTGAAAATAATGCCATCAACAGTGTTACCCTTTATTTTAAGTACAGTAGCAGCAATGTCATACACTATTTTTAATTAAATGAACTAACTAATTTACCTTTTTTGTAAGCTAAAACCTATGACCTATTCAACTTCCATATATTAAAGTTGGAGGGAAATATTCTTCTTCAAAGTTCAATAGGAAAAATGAGGCAACCTGGGAGGTGACACTAATAGAAATTTAAACATAATACATACTAATAGTAATGTCATTGCTGGAACCAGTCAAAGTGAAGGAGTCAGAGAACAGCAAATGCCCTATTTGTTTGCACCAAGATGAAGTAATCTCTTCTGATAACTATACCTATGATATTCATGCCACTTTTGCTGCCATCACCAGGAAAAACCAATAACTACACTTCACTACATTACACTTCCCTACACCATGTTACACTCCACTACAAAACTTCCATATTGAAAACTTTTGATCTTTAATTTACAAACTGAAAAGTATTACTTACCATTATCACTTGAAAAACATTTCTGGTATCAGTGGCAAAACATTTCTGGTATGCAGTGTCAATATCTGTCCAAAAAGTTATGGTGTTGCTGCCCACCTATAGCCCATAATTATATTAAAAATTGCTGCCACTGAGGCAAAGTGCTACATTTGTAAAATGAAGGAAGTTGTGCTTTGATAATGGCAAATATTCCTAGTTTTGAACAGTAATGGTAGGCACACATACAATCTTCAGTTGGCTAACAATATATTGGCCAAATGATTATTACACAAGTACTGGCCAATCTATGCACATGGCAACAAATCCTCTCTGAATAAATGTTTTTAATTATTCATTTTGAGTTGTTTCAAACAGCTCACTCAGTCAGCTTAGTCTGACTAAGTCTGTAAGTCAGCTATATAATTAGGATATGTGTGCACTTTTTGTATATTTCAAATGATTCACAAAACTGCTTACCAACTTGCAGTTTTATTTGCGTACTTACCTTACTGTTTTCCCAAGTGTTTCTTTTCTTTAACCTATGAAAAATCTTTTGTAGGGGAATAAATATGATGATGATGATGATGATGATGATGATGATGATGATGATGATGATGATGATTATGATGATGATGATGGTGATGATAATGTTGAAGATGAAGAAGATACAGATAAAGATGATAATGATAATGATGATGATGATGAAGACCAAAAGACTAACAATAATAACAGAACTGCCACTAATGATAATGATAATAACACATAGTACTGATGATGATAATGATAATGATAAAAGAAAAGAAAAAAAGAAAGCAAGAAAAGAAAAGAAAAGAAGAAAGAAAAGAAAAGAAAAAAAGAAAAGAAAAGAAAAGAAAAAAAAAGAAGAAAAAAAAGAAAGGAAAAGAAAAAAAGAAATAAAAGAAAAAAGAAAAGAAAAGAAAAGAAAAAAAAGAAAAAAGAAAAAAAGAAAAAAAAAGAAAAAAAGGAAAAAAAGAAAAGAAAAAAAGGAAAAAAGAAAAGAAAAGAAGAGAACAAAAAGAAAAGAAAGAAAAGAAAAGAACAAAAAGAATAGAAAAGAAAAGAAAGAAAAGAAAAAAAAAAGCAATGAATGCAAAGACAACAAAAAGATGTAACATACAATATCATTCATATGAACTTTCTCTTAACCTGTTTTTACAATGAAAACATTAATAATTTTCGTATTCATATATGGATTTATAAGAATCAATCAGAAATTTTAAATTATAAACCTCAAAATTCAAGCATTTAAGCCAACATCATCATTTCAGTTCTGGTATATGACTTAGAAAATATAGAGGAGAATGCAAAGAACACCTTATTTTCCAGTACTTTATACAAAATGAAAAATATCTTCAATTTTGTCCTTCTTTTTTTTTGTAATATCACTTCTGTCATATTGTAAACAGCAGTAATAAACATCAATTTCAAGCGGCAGTACAAACAACATCTACATACCAGAGCATTTCATGTCAAATCTTTATAACTATATTTTGTTCTTATGTCAATCAGTAGGTCAACACATTTTCAGTCTCTACTAGAACTCCTATACTCCATCTAACTCTAGCATACTCCAATCTACCAAGTCTCTTGGTAACAAACTGGTGTAAAGCATTGAGAATACCGTATAAGAGTTTTAAAAATAAATAATATATACGTCTGCATAAGTACTGTGTATTCGGCTGATTGAAATAAAATAGAAGACTTGATGGTTGTAGGTTATTTCCTTTTCTGAGACTGCATGTTCTATAGCTACCCTACATGTCAGCCTAGAAGTCAAATGATAGTCAATACCCTGAATTTCCCAGTTGAACACTTACATCAGAAACTTAAAAGAGAGTATATTCATGTGGCAGGTATATGTACTGGTTTCTGATAAACATAGTTACAAGAAAATTCAGGAAGAGTTTGAACATCAAGTGTTGATATACCAATGGAATGCAAAGTTAAGAAGTAAAGACAGTGACATAAAGAGGCTTGCAGGCTCTCAAGTAAGCATCGAACAGTTCCAAATAACTGGAAGATGTACTTTTGTTTCTTTGGCATATATTTCATAAACTCCAAAGCTAAAAGGAAATTTCTGATGTATTTACATTTCTTGTACTGCTTACAAACAGTACCATTGGTTTGAAATGTATATAGGTCAATTCAGATGTGAATAAAATTCATAACCTAAATAAGTCCACAAACTTGCAATTCACTAACTTCTGATTAAAACATGTCAAGACTTAATAATAATTTCAGCATTTACACCCTGTGGTCTTTCTTACTACAGTATATGGGAAAATATAAACTGTTTAAACTCTGAAATAAAATGTTAGTAATCAACAATAAAATTAAATACTTTTCAGTGTAACATCTCAAACACAAGTTAAGAAAAAGGTACTGTCGTCACACATTCAAGTGGACATTATGGTAATGTCTAGGTCACATCTAATTAAAATCTGAATTTAAAGTTCATTAGTAATTTGCAATGGAAAAGGCAATTTTGATATTGGAAAAATATATATATTGAGAAAATTATAAAATTTATTCTTAACCTACAAAATCAAATTAATATAATCTCTAGCACTTGATAAAATATTAATTTATTATTTACATTATATAAATACATATTCCAATATCCCCTATTGTTTTGTTTAATTTACCCAAAAATATAAAATGAAAGTTTTTCTCTTAACACGAAAGACTAATTGCACTTCCTGAACCAAACTGCCTTATATATATCCACATAAAACAATTATGGACAAACAGTCACATTGCACCTTGCCCTCAAATGTAAAGTGCCTAAAATTCTGCTGCATTTGATTACACTGCCTTTCAGAATTTTTATGCTTATGAATTCAACCTTCTTAAAAAATACATATAATCAGTTGCATATCATGACAGTATACATATATGACAAAAAGTCTAGTCTACAAAATTACACCACTGAAAGAAAAGCATGCAATGACTAAGTGTTCACAGTACTGAGTATAAGAGAGTAATAACCTTTCATACACAGTAATTCATGAAGCTGAACCTTCTCCTATTGTTAGGACTTTCAATGCCTTCAAGGATACAACTGTTCATGTGGGTTTAACTCAAAGTTATAAAATGGAAAAGAAAGAAAGGGTAAGTGAGATAAAAAAAAAAAAAAAAAATGTGATTATGTGACCAGAAATGTGCACTCATGAGGCTGGTATATTACTACAAGTCCAATACACACTTGTCCCAATAAAGGAGTTAGTGTCACCATAATTCCAACAGAGCCTAAAATACTACATCCCAGTACAGATATAACATTCATGCTGTTATTGATTTATTCCCTTCACCAGAATAAATATCTGCGTTTTTTAAGAGTTAGTGGTATGTGTGTTGCGAAGTCCTGTTATGCCCCGGAACCAGTTGCGAAGCTCTACTGAGGTGACGGTAAGGTAATTTGCCTCTTCGTCAACACTCTCACCAACACCACCACTTCCTTCACTAAGCAAAGGCCGAGTATCATTAGCCTTACGTGGTTTACTGCCAGCCTTCTTTTTCTTTCGGTTGACAACTCCCTCTACTTCGTCCATCATTTTAACAATCTGTTTAAAAGGAATTGTTTGTTTACTCAACTGTTTCTTGTTATAGTTTTATTTATGTCAATGCAACCTTCATAAAAAATGTTCACAATTTTTCAGATTTTTATTCATGCTTCTAATTGTACACTGAGTAATTCACAAACTAATTTCCAGCACTTCTGGAAACTTTTACCAACTTACTTGTGCTTGATCTGATGCATCCATGGGTATAACGGAAATGTCTCGAACGGCTCGGAATTTACCACAGTTGTTGATGTGCTCGTTCTCCAGACGGAAAAAGTTCCAGATAAATCTCCTGTCAAAAAACAAGTTTATGAATCAGATTTTCATCTATGAATTAGCAGCTCCTAGGTTATACATGAGCACAGAAAAGCAACTGATTTCTTTATGTTGTATAATCAACACAAGAGTTCACATAATTTTCATCACATAATAAAGGCCTACTTATCACTTAAAATACAACAGAAGCAAAGCACTTTGAAATGTCTTTCAAACTGCACCTAAAATTCACACACAGTCAAAGTTACCAATATCACATGTAAATACACTCAGATCTGTGGCTTGTCCTTACCATACAGCCAAACAAATGAAGGAGAGACAACAATTGAATGAATTACTCTAAACCACTACAGCAATATGCCAGACTTAACTCTAATGGAAACAATATAACAAAATACAAGTTGTCTAATGATAAAACCTCCTTCCCTAAGCTTTAAGGAGTGATTGAAGAGCTGTGGGTTAACCTGAAGAAACACACTGAAAATCTTGTTTTGTTCATAAAAGTACAAATATAAAAGTATTTTCAGGAGAAGGGCAACAAAAACTAAAAGTACAAAGGTCTATAGGTTAAAAACTGTTTACAATCCATCAAAATGTTAATCAATGCTAAGTTGACATTTTCAAAATTCTGTCCATACTTAAATGGGGAGAGCTTAAGGCTCCTTATTTCTCCACAGCACATCTTCTGTCTTGATTTAACTACCAAAATATCCCATAAATTTTACTTAGCAACTCCTTGAAAACCATAACAAGACCTAAAAGATCTACATTCTTCTGAACTGCAATAGTACATATTATACATTCTTTCAAGTCTTGAAAAATAGGGGAAAAAACAAAGAAAAAAAAACTTATCCTGTTTAAGGATCTTTACCTGAACACTTCAAGAGGTGCCAGAACAGAGATAATGTATTCACCCTCGACATTTCCCAATCCTTTTAAGGTCTGTGTAAATATCCAGCTGAACCTCAAAATGAAGTCCTCTACGATACCAAAGTAATAATAATACTGAAATCAAAAGAATCATAGTTAGTCTTATTCTGAGTTTAACCACCTTTTAAAATACATCCTAAAATTATGATAATTCATTTTACAAGATTTATTACTTATTCTTATCTAAATGATACATATTTCACAAATTTCCAAATGGGTTAAAACATTTCAGAAAGTCTCAGAATTCAGCAAAATGTGAACTTACTGGCGATGAATAAACCAGTTCCTCACGGAGGAATTTGTACTCTCCAGCACTCTTGTCAAAGAGACCCCAATCCATCACCATGTCCCACCAGAAGACAAAACATGAGCTGAACACCATTGAACCAATCAGCATGTAGAAGAATGGGTTGTTTTTGTTATCCTGATACTGATCTGCATTAATCATAGGAAAATAATCAATTAATACTTCATAATCAATAACTCTCTCATATTTGTTTCCACAGCAAGTGAAAAATTGTATAACATACATTTTAACACACACACACACAAAATACATGAATATATATAATAAGTACCAATTCCATGTTAATAACAAGAAAGCTTGATACCAATATAATACAAACCTTTATATAGCTCTGTCAGGGTTGTAAATGTTACAACAAAGAAAGTTGTTGAATATTTGAAAGCATTGACTAGATGAGGGAACATTTCTCGAGTGTCGCGATAACGACGGAGACACTGGGCAAAACGCCACCATGCAGGCAGGCATGCCACAATGCTACGCACCACTGTTGTCTTGTCTATACAAACACCATCCCCTAAATCTGTAAGAAAATCCAAGAAAATATAAATCTAAGGGTTTACAAGACATTCTAAAAATAAAATGATGTTTGGGGGGTCATATATTCTTACTGCTCTTATATCCTCAGTTTAAATTTACATGTTTTATTATCCAAAATTAAAAGAGAAAAAAAGAAAAGAATGAAATAAAACTTGACAAGTTTACCTACCTTTACTAGGATCAGTCCAATTACTTTGCATATAAAAACAGAGGCTATATTCAAAATCTTTAAGAACCTGAACTAGAGTATTCAACTGATCTCCCAGCCAGAAATCAGCAAACTGCACAAAGAAAAATGGTGCACAAATAACACGTCCCTGTAAAATACAACAAAAGAATTATAAAATGAACTATGACAGCCTGTTCGCCATTGAATTTATCACATGGACTACTTTACAATCAGTAGATGAATAATGACAATCTCAAAGGTACAAATGAACGCTGTCTTTAGTATGTCCTCAGCAATATCAAACATTGAAATAGACTATAAATGTCAGATAAAGTGAAAAGAAACCAAGCCTCAGAAACTTACCAGCTTCTTAAGAAGCCAAAAACGTGCTTCATGATGGAAAGTACGTGATGGGTTGAGAAGGAAAAGAACCATGAAACACAGTAGTGCTAATGGAACAGTGTACGGGGGGATGGACAGAGCATGGGCATATAGAAATCCTAGTACACTTAGAGCCCAGATCACACCTGAGGATAATAAAGTTAACATTATAGCAAAACTATGTAGAGTATAATATGATGATTGCAAGAATAACACTGCAGTTCTGAAAGCAGACTTGTAAATAACATCTTATAATGATTACATTTATACAAGTCAAATATAACAATTATGGATTTAATATTAAAAATTCTGGAAACCAATATTTCTACTAAAAAGCAAATATTTTAGGCTTTTCAATATACATGCAGAGAAAAATATACATGATGACAACTGCAACCACTGAAAATATAAAACCAACTAAATTTACCAAATATTGCAGCAATCTCCATAAGGTGCTGTTCTGTTAAATGATTTCTTGGGTCGATTTCAAAAATGAGGACATGGTTGACACCGGAAGACCGCCATCCATAAATGTTAATACCGATAAGGAAAAGGAACAGGATGATCATTAATGGTCCTCTGAATAACCGCAGAACAATTACGGTCTTGATGTTGTTCGAGTGGAAGATTGCTGCCAAGGAAAATGAAACAATTCATGGTAAATATTATTTCTTCAAAAATTTCTCTAAACTCTGTTTTTAAAAATCAGTGTCAAATTTACATTGCATGGATGACATGAGATCAATATTCATATAAAGACAAGAAAAAAATTAAAAACATGAATTCACACAATCTATTTTTGGATACGTTCAATATCTACTGAAAGATAGATAGGATAGAAACCACCTTAAGTTTACAGAATTTTATAAATCTCACCTGAAAGAATGACGGACACAACTAGTACAATGAAAGCTCCAAAGAAGAGTCCAACTTTAAAGGTTGTCCATGGGCTCTGAGCTTCTCCTAAGGGAGGGACTCGCAGTCTTTTCATTGCCTTGCCACGATCTCCCTGCTCCAGCTCTGATGTAAAGGTTCCTTCAACCTGGAAACAAATTTGATGAGAACAAAGCCTCTGGCATTTTTTGTGCATGCTGTGAGATGTATGAGGTAATCATAAAGTCTATTATTCATCAATCAGGAAAATAATCCCAACTAACATATATATATTCATCAATTAATATAATTTGTTCTAAAAATAACAGAAGCAACTGAACCTTGACACATTACCTCCTGAATTAGTTTATCAATATCTTTATTTGTATTGAATGTTGAGCAGTCGACATTGTCTTCTCTCCACTTGGCACCATTAGCTGTGGCCATAAGCTGCAGACACAAAATGAAGATAGATGATATACAGAGACAAAACAAGAAAGCAAGAATGATGACCAAAATATTCTTCTCCCATTTGCCACCATAACAACAGACAGGAGAGTGTTATATTACGATTTTCACCTTGTCATGTTTTTTCAAGATCTTCCTAAAGCCGGTGAAATTTAAATTCTGGTAGTTCTGGAGGAGGATGAGACTCAGGTAGAACTCGGAGAAGGCTAGTTTCAGGTCTTGCATCTTTCTTGCTGGGACATTTAGCTTGGGAAGGAATGTGAAACCTTTACGGTTCCTGAGGCCATCTCCATGTTGTTCTTTTGAGGCCTGGAGGTCTGACTTTAGTGTTGTATATTTTCTGGTAGCCTCTGCCATTTTTTCTGTACAGGGAAATATCACATTTCTTCAATACATTCTTGCAAGAGGAGATTGGAGAAAAAAAATCTACTTTGATATGTGACAATTTCAATTCTTCGAATAGTTTATAGTTTTATTTAGAACTTTCAACTTTATGCAAAATTCATACACTTTGTCATTAGTATCATCATCTAATATTCTCATTTGAATATAAAGTGAAAATTTACAAAGTTCAAGATAATTATTAATCAACATCTCACATAAGTAAATCAAAAGTATCTGCATTAGTCTTAATTCAATATAGTTGATAGTGAGGATCTTTCAATTTTAAGTATGAAAACAGAATACCCACCTGAGAAAAAGGTATTGATTTTGGCAAGCTCCTTATCACATACTCTGAAAAATTGTTCATCAAATCTTGCATAATATCTTGTGATAACTTCTGCCTCTGTGACCTCTGGTGATGGTGCCTGTTCCACTGCTGCATATAACATGGCCTGCAAAAATATTATTGGCATGTCACACATATTGCTAAAGTTCACTTTAAAAAATATATATAATTAGCTACTACAAGCATCCTCCCTGCTAATAATTCTTTATTGTTTTTAATTAATCCTTTTTATATCATGCATATAAATTGCCTGTTTTTCAATATATACAAAGAAATAGATGTGGATTATTTAAATGTCTTTTTCTCTGCTAAATAAACAATAATCTTTACCTTCATCTCCTCGTAACTGATGTATTGCTTTCTCCATTCTGGAGTGATATGTGCTGCTAAGTGCTCTGCGAACTTCATTTTGCTGTGTTGGGTTTAATATGATGGCAACAAGTGACTAGATGATCACAGT